GGCCTCCAAGACGCCCAAGATGGCCTCCAAGACGGCCCTGGAGCGCCCCAAGAGGGTCCCCCGTTGGCCCAGAAAGGCCCCCAAAACGGCTCCCGACGGCGTCAGACGTGCCAGGAACCCACCAAGATGGCCGAAGTTGGCTCGAAGCTGGCCCAAAAGGGCCCAAGAGGCCCCCAAGAGGGCCTCCAGGAAGGCCAAAAGATGCCAAAATCACTGATTTTCCAAAGGTTTTTGATGGATTTGGGCATTTCCCTTTTTTCGGCCTTCCGACGGCCCGAGACGGCCCAAGAGCCCCCAAAGATCGCCGAAAGATCGCCCAAGAGGCCTCCAAGACGGCGACGATGACCATCAAGACGCCCACGTGTTCCCCGAAGGCTTTCCAAACCGATTCGGGGAACACATGGTCCGATGGCTTGGCAGGTCTGGCCTCAACGTTCGGCCACATAGGCGCTTCCACAAAGGCAGGGGGCGGCGGTGATTCGCCGTAGGCGTCTTCGATCCGCCGCCCCCTGTTGGCTTGCCACAGGGGTGCCCAGCGTGCCCGGGGTGCCCGGCGTGCCCTGTCGATGTGGGCTTTGGTTCTTTTCCAAAAGAACTCCCCCTGGGGCTTCGGCCCGTCCCGCCAGCCACCCTAAAGGCTCCCAAAAGGTGGTTGCAAATGTTTTTTCTGCTCCAGACTGCTCCAAAATGGCCTCCAAGATGGTCAAGATGGCCCAAGATGGCCTCCAAGTTCGCCCAAGATGGTCCAAGATGGCCCCCAAGACGGTCCAAGAGAGTCCAAAATGCCTCCAAGTTCGCACAAGAAACCTGTAAGACGGACCAAGACGGCCCCAAAGGCCTCCAAGAGGCCTCCAAGACGGCCCAAGAGGCCTCCAAGGGGTCCTCCACGAGGGCCCGACGACGCGAAAACTAATGGTTTTCATTAGGTGGTTGAAGGATGTTGGTTTTTGCTATTCTCCAGCCGTCCGACGGCCCACGACGGCTCAAGAGGGCCGAAAGATCGGCGCCAGAGCGCCCAAGAGGCCTCCAAGATGGCCCTATGACGGCCCAGGAGGCCTCCAATACGGTCCCAAGAGAACCCCAAGACGGCCCAAGAGGCCTCCAAGACGCCCAAGATGGCCTCCAAGACTGGCAAGATAACCTATAATACGCCTCCAAGACGGACAAGATGACCTCCAAGACGGCCAAGATGCCCGCTAAGACGGCCAAGATGGCCCAAAATGGGCCCGAGAGGCTTCCCAGATGGCCCCAGAGGAATCCACGAGGTTCTCCACCCGAGGACCCAAAATCACTGATTCTCCTTAGGTTGTTGAAAGATGTTGGCTTTTCCTCCGTTTTGGTGTTCCGACAGCCCAAGACGGCCCAAGGAGTCCCCAACATCGTCCCAGAGGCCTCCAAGATGGTTCCAGAACGGTCCAAGAGGCCCCCAAGCCAGCCCCAAGAGGGTCCCAAGACGGCCCAAGAGGCCTCCATGACGCCCAACATGGCCTACAAATGCCTCAACACGGCCAAAATGAGCTCCAAGACGGCCAAGATGGCCTCCATGACGAATATAAATCCGTAACCATGTGTAAGCTGCTTCAGGGAACAAATGCCGATGACACAATCCAACATCAAGCGAGTCAACTTCGGACGAACAACTATGATTTTCGCAAAACGGTTCGAAAGACACGTAAGGACCTCAAAATCCACGAATGATCCCTCCAAGACGGCCCAAGATGACCTCCAAGACTGTCCCAAGACGCCTCCAAGACGGCCAACATGGCCCAAGATAGCCTCCGAGGTGCGTCCAAGATGGCCGAGATGGCACCAAGAGAGACCAAGATCACTCCAATTCGGCCTCCAAGACGGTCCAAACAAAAATGCCTCCAAGACCGCCAAGATGGCCCACTTGAGCCCCAGAGTGCCTCAAGAGACTCCCAAGAGGACTCTTCCCCTCTTCCCCTTTTTTCCTCACTCTCCTCCTCTTCCCCGACCTCCTCCACGTGTTCCCCGAAAGATTTCCGAACCGATCCTGGAAACACTCGTTCCGAAAGATTGGCAAGGATCTGACCCAACCTTCAGCCAGCAGGCCCCAAGACGCCTCCAAAGCTCACAAGAGCCCCCAAGGGCCCCGAACACGCCCATGCCTCACTCTCCTCCTCTTCCCTGTTCTCCCCCACGTGTTCCCCGAAGTCTTTCCAAACCGACTCGGGGAACACATGGTCCGATAGCTTGGCAGGGCTCTGGCCTCAACGTTCGGCCACGAAGGCGCTTCCGAAAGGGCAGGGAACGACGGTGACTCGCCGTAAACGTCTTCGATCCGCCGCCCTCTGTTGACTCATCTCAGGGGTGCCTGGCGTGCTAATCCCAACTGGTTTTACTGTGGTTCTTTCTCCACGAAAACTCTCCCCTGGGCCTCAGATCCGTGGCGCCGGCCTCCCGGAAAAGGCGGCTGCCGTGCCTGCTCAACGGCCGACTCGCTAGGGACATCCTCAACAAGTCGCGATAGTGGGGTCCAGATGGACCCAGATGGCCTCCAAGACGGCCCAAGAGGGACCAAGATGGCTCCGAGTCCGAGTCCGCACTAGGAATTCCCAAGAGGCGTCCAAGACCCCAAGAGGCCTCCAAGATGTCCTCAAGAAGGCCCGAAGAGGGCAAAATCATTGATACCCCATAGGTTTTGAAGGATTTAGGAATTTGCTTCTTTTCGGCCTTCAGACAATCCAGGCCCAAGAGGTCCTCCTCCTACTCCTCTTCTTCTTCCTCCTCTTCCTCCCTCTCCTGATCCTCCCACTCATCCTCCTCCAATTGTTTCCCACGGAGTTTCCAGAACGGCTGGGGGGACAGATTCTCCGATGGCTTGGCCAACTGGGGTCCAACGTTTGGCCACAGGGGTGCTTCCCAACAGGCAGGGGGCGGCGGTGATTTTTGCCGCAGGCGTCTTCGATCCGCCGCCCGCTGTTGATTTATCACAGGGGGGCCTGGCGCGCTAGACTTCTTAGGATTTGGTTTTGGTTTGTTTCCAAACGAACTCCCCCTGGGAGTTCGGCCCGTCCCGCTGGCCAACCGAAATGCCCCCAAACAAACATAAAGTAAACAAAAACCTCCAAGACGGCTCAAGATGGCTTCTAAGGTGGTCACATTGGCCCAAAATGGCCTCCAAGATGGCCCAAGATGGTCCGCATTGCCGCCAAATTCGCCGAAGAAGCCACCAACACGGCCCAAGTTTTTTTTTTTTTGCCGCCACCTGTTATGAAGAATTCGCCAGTCCAACGAGCTTGAGGAGTGCTAAAATCTCCCGTAACAGGTGCATTGTATGTCGAACGCGTGTTCTCGCGTGCTTCTTCAAGCTTCTCGGGGCCCACTTGAGCTGCACACAAGCACGATGCGCAGTGGCAGCGATTATGCGGGAAAACGCGCGCGGTGGGACAGTCTAGGTCGGTGGAATGAGCGAAGCGATGAAATAATCCCATCCCATGCGTTGGTGAGACCGAGGCAGCGTTGCAGCACAAACCTTGAGCAAACAAGCGCCAACATAGAATAGATGCTGGCACATCCGGAAGGGTGTGTGAGGACAGGCATACGCACCATCGCAGCAAGATAAGCTCACAAGCGCAGACCCCTACAAGTCCAGCTGACGGATTCGAACGGAGGTAGGGGAGGGAGATGGACGACAACGACAACGACGACGACGACGACGACGCGCGAGGAGACGCAGATGAGAAAGACGCCTCTGCGCGCTCAGTGCGCGCCACCATTCCACATGTCGAGAAAACCAGATTCAGCGAGTATCTTCGACGAGTCGAACCTGGCCTTGTAGAGGGCGTAACTGCGGCGCTGGCACGCGCGCACATCCTTGCGCAGCCCGCTGACTACCGCCTCCGCCTCCGACATGTTCCCGAAGAAGTGCACGATGCCGCCCCAGCCGTCGGCGTCCAGAGGGTGCACGGCGGCAGATATCACACACGCCTTGTTCGGCAGCAGCTGGGCTAGCCGGAACGTTTCCAGAACGTTGTCGGAAGGGCAGCACATCTGGTTCTTGTGCAGAATCAGCTGCATGGGATACTCGCTGACAAATCGTCCCAAATTCTGGATATTCCAAACGTTTCCCTCCTCATGTACGCGTCCTTTCCAAAATGGTGTCTGGTGGAGAGAATTCAGGACACCGTCGGGTCGAGATTTCAGTTTGCCTATGAAAGCCAGCTTGTCGTCCTTTCTTGTCTTGCTCCACAAGTCGGCACCTCCTTCCAAAAGAGCGGTGTACCCAGGCGGGACCCATCGAGCCACTACGTCGCTGCCCACACTCAGCGAATCCAAGACAAGTCCATCCTTCGAAAACTGTGCAAGGTTGGCTCTCGAATAATCCCACACTTCCCTAGCCTTGCACTCACACATGAACTGCGCCACGAACCTCACATCGGGCTTAGTATCGGGCTTCTTCGACCTGACTCCTGTGAACGGCTCGGTTTGGTAAGCCACGACGAACACACCCAGGTCTGCCAACTCTTTCATGCCCATGCAGGATGTCCACTCGTACGTCGTGACGACGACCATCGCCCTCCTCGCACGGTTCTGGGCGACGGGTCTGACCTCCGTGGAGTGCCACGCTCTGTCCTCGCCGAACTTCTCGACCAGTGGCCCCAGCCGCCTCGAGCGAGGACCTCAGCGAAAAGAACAGCGGCCTGAACATCGTAATCTTCGCAGGAGAGATGGTGGCGACCTGAGTGGCTTGCCAGAGCCACACTGTCGTGGAGGCCATCGTTCGCTCGTGCGGCCGATGCTGCGAGGCAAGGTCCAGCCGTTGGGTCGCGCCACCGCTGGCGGACGAGGCACCCTCTGGCAGCGGAGGCTCTTGGGCTCGCGGCCTAGGTGCGCCGGCGTTGCCTGCCGTGTCGATCGTCGCCCGTGCCAGATCTCGCACTACCCAGAGGGCATTGCCGTCCCCAAAGGGTTGTGCTCCAATGATGCAGACCGCAGTGGTCAGCCCGATGGCGAAGAATACCATCCATGACACAAAGCTCACCAGTGCTGACATCCATCCCTCAATTCGCATGGCCTTGAGCCAAAATGGCTACGGACCAACACGGCCCAAGTTGGCTCCACGATGCCTCCGAGTCCGCCCCAAAAGCCTCCAAGACGGCCCAAGACGGGCCAGGAGGTCCCCAAGACGCCCCCAAGACGTCCTCCAGGAAAGCCCGAAGAAGCCAACATCATTGGTGTCCCTTTGGTGTTTAAAAGGTGCTGGCATTTACGTCTGTTCGGTCTTCTGACAACCCCAAACGGCCCAAGATCACCCCAAGATGGCCCGCAAAGCCTACAAGATGACCTCATGACGGCTCAAGAAGCCTCCAAGACGGCCTCAAGAGGCCTCAAGGTTCACCCAAGATGGTCCAAGATCGCCTCCAAGACGGCCCAAGAGTATCCGCCGCCCCCTGTGGTCTTGCCACAGGGGTGCCTGGCATGCTTGCCACAGAGACCCTATACGGCTTGGTTTGAGTTCTTTTCTAGAAGAACTCCGCCTGGGGCTTCGGCCGATCCAGCCAGCCACCCGAAGGCTATCGAAAATGCCCTTGTGGTTGCCCAAATCGCCTCCAAGACGGCCCAAGATGGCCTCCAAGACGGCTCAAGATGTCTTCCAAATTTGCCCAAGATGGCCTCCAAGAAGGCCCGAGTGTCCAAGATGCCTCCAAGACGGCCCAAGAGGCCTCCAGAGGCCTCCAAGACAGTCCAAGAGGCCCCCAAGAGGCCTCCAAGACGGCCCAAGAGGCCTCTAAGAGGTCCTCCAGGAGGGCCCGAGGAGCCCAAAATCATTGATTTCCATTCCGTATTTGAAGCAATGTGGCATTTGTATGTTTGGGGGGCCTGCCGACGGCCCGAGAGGCTCAGGAGGCCCTGAAAAGGTCCTCCAGGAGGGCCCGAGGAAGCCAAAATCATTCATTCTCATTACGTTGCTGAGGGAGTGTAGCACTTGCTTCTTTTCAGCCTTCCAACGGCCTACGACGGCCCAAAAGGCCTCCAAGATCGATCTCAGAGCGCCCAAGAGCCCTCCAAGATGGCCCCAGGACGGCCCAAGAAGCCCCCAAGACGGCCTCGAGGGGGACCCAAGAAGGCTCAAGAGGCCTACATGACGGCCAAGATGGCCTCCAAGACGGCCATGGAGCACCCCAAGAGGGCCCCAAGACGGTGCCCAGGAACGCCCAAGACGGCCCAAGAAGCTGCCAAGAGGTTCCCGCCCTCCCTGCATGCCGGTGAGCATGCCGTGAGAGCCGCGGCGGCACCTTCCGGAGGCAGGCTGAGCAGGGCCCCCCCCCCGCGCTGCCCCTCCGCGAGCGGGTTCGGCGCCTCAGCCGCCGCGCCCGCGACGGCCGCCGCGGCGCCCTCCGCTGCCGCCGCCACGGCCTGCGCAAGGGCTGCGTCGCGGCCGCCCGCTCTCTCCAGGAGCGCGGCCTCCGCTTTCCAGGGGCCCCCTCTAGAGGCCTCCCAGATGGGGTCGTGGTAGATGGGGTCGGAGTATTGCAGCGCATCGCCGATGCATCGGCGAGGCCCTGGCGACGTCGGCAATGCATCCGCGACATCGGCATACATCGGCGATGCGGCGTGATCCTCCGACCCCGCCTGCTCGGACCACACCTAGGAGCCCACGAAATTTCCACGTGCCCCTGTCCTTCGACGGGCCATGAGAGCGATTCGCCAGCAGCGGCAACGGTTGCTCCTCCCCCTCCTCCTCCGCCTCCTCCTGAAAGGCTGCGCAGGCCGAGGGGCGGTCGCGGCGACAACTTACTTCGCCAGTGCATTGCCGTCCCTCCCCCCGCCCCCCACCCCCAGGGCAAGGCGGTGGGGTGTCGAGGGGCGGGCTGAACTACCACCAGCTGTCAAAACACAAATGATGTACACCTGCCCCTCTCGCCCGCTCGGGGGCCTGAGCGCGGGAGGAGGCGCGAGGCAAGATTAACACATGGCTCCAATCGTGGCCCGATTCCAGATTATCCCGATTGCCTCCGAGATGGCAAAGAGGGAAGCAAGATAGAGCAAGCTTGTCTCGAGCTTGCCTCAAGCCCCAATGTGGCTCGGTGGCGACTCTCGATCTCTGGGTGATAACCCCGAGCGGCCCAGACCACGGAGTCCAACCGATATATTGGAAGGGGGCCCCAAAGAGGGACCACAAGGGCACACCCGAAGACCCCCAAAGCAGTAGGATAGGTTCAGGCAAAACCTTAAAAGTCCCCCAGTAGATAGTCGCCTGAATCTAAAATCACATAACTAGTGCCACCAGTCCTCTGGACGTAGGTGGTCGAACGATAATATATATATATATATATATATATATATATATGTATACGGATGTGTGTATATATATATATATAAATAAATGTATGTATGTATGTGTGTATATATATATATGGACAGCCCCCCCAACACCCATTATTCGTCTTTGTTCGTTCCACGTTGTCTTTCGCATCCCTTCCTCCGCTCCCCTTTTTGTTCTCTGTCCCGTTGTCTTCCGTCCTCCTTGCCATCTTCTCTCTCTCTCTCTCGCTTGCCACTTTTCCCCATGGGGGCTGCGGGCGCCTTTTTTTGTTCGTCGCCTCCGCGCAGGGGAGGCCAACGCTTGAAGTGGCGCCATCCTCCACACAGGAAGACCAAGGCTTGCAGGGACCTTCCCCCAGACACGCCAGTGCCCCCACACCCTATGATTTAATATGGATTTCTCTCACACAGGAGGGGGAGGGGGAGGAGGATCAGGGGGTAGACAAATATGGAAGGGGGACAGCGAAAGAGAGGGAGAGAGAGGGGGAGACTCGAGGGAGCAGCAATCCCTGTGACACCACAGTGTTTGCGACGCCTGGGGGCCCCAAACCCCATGATTTCATTTGGGTGTTTGGGATTTCTGGGGTGGAAATCACAGAAACATTATGCGTTCATTTGGATGTGTTTGGATTTGCTGCAGTCCGGCAAAATCAACTCAGGAACCCCTCAGGAATCAGAATCTCAAACATCCCACTGAATTCACAGCTTTCGCGATGTCAGGGTGCCCCAAACCCTACGAGTTCATTGTGATGTTTACGATTTCGGGGGTAAAGCTCCCAGAAACCCTATGAGTTCACTGGGATGTTCTGGGTGTTTGTGATTTGGCTGCCTTCCAACAAAAAATCAGCACAAGTGGGCCCAAACCCCACCAAATCACTAAAACAAATCCATTTGAAATCGTACTGTTCCTGCGATTCGCATCGCCGAAAACAAAAAAATGAAATCATATGGTTTTGGGCACCCTGACTTCGCGAAACTTACACATTAATTGAAACGTTTGCGGTCGTGACGCCTGAAAACGAGCTCCTGACATGATGTTGCTGGATTGCAGAAAATTTCAAAAATCATAAGTCCCCCAGTGAAACCACAAGGGTTCTGCAAGTCTGATCCCAGAAATCCCAAACATCCCAATGAAATCACAGGGTCTGGGACACCCTGACATCGCGAAACCTGCGAGTTCAGTTGGGTGTTTGAAATTTTGGCCCCTGAGGGGCTCCTGAGCAGACTGTGCTGGAGGGAAGAGAATCACCCACACCAGAAGGAGAGAGAGAGAGAGGAAAAAAAAACAACCAATGAAATCATAAGATTTCTGGGGTCCCCACCCTAAAAATCCCGAAAGTCCAAATAAGATAACAGGGCTTGGGGCCCCCAAGCGCCGCAACCATTGTGGTGTCACAGGGGTCGCTGCTCCCTCGAGTCCCCCCCCTCTCTCTCTCTCTCTCTCTCTCTCTCTCTCTCTGTCTCTTTTTTTTTTTTTTCTCTCTCTCTCTCTCTCTATGTCCCTCTGTCTCTCGCACGCCATCGGCGCGAGCACACAGCGTCTGGCGCTGTGGGCGCGCGCAGCCCGATCAGGCAGGGGCGGGGCGCCTCACGCGCCGTGCCCGAGCACCGCGGCGAGACCGCGCCCGCCGCGCGGCACGGCCAGCTCGCAAGCTGAGCCGCTCAGCCCTCAATCCTCGCCTCCGTGGCAGGGGGGCGCCACGGAGGTCCCAGGAGAGGGCGCGAGGGCCCAGCGCTCCACGCCAGGCCAAGGGCGGGGCCCGCCCCGCGCCGCGGCCAGCAGCACCCCGCCTGCCGCAACGGCGCCAGCCGCCCAGGCACGTCAGCACCACGGGCAGTAGCGCCACGGCGCGGGCCAGGATGACGAGCCAGACGTCGCCGAGCGGCGGGCGCGGTCGAAGGTCCTGAGCACCGCCAGGTCGGCCTTCGCCACCTAGCGCTCGCTCGCGGACAGCGGCACCAGCAGGGCCGCCTCGAGGAACGCCTGGACGCCGTCGCGCGGCGAGATCCCAGCGCGATCGCCGAGGTCGTCCAGCCGCTCCCAGAGCTCCACCCAACAAGCTGCATGCTTCACGTTCTCCTTCGGGTCCTGCAGCTAGATGGGCTTCGCCTTCGCGCCGTGGGCCGAGGGCAGGGCCGCAGGAACCTCTACGCCACCCGCAGCCGCCGAACCCGCCGCGGCCGCCCCGCCGCCCTGCGCCGCGCGCGCCACGGGCAGCTCGTCTGCGAAGGCGTCGTCGAAGTCCCCGTCCTCCGCCGCACGACCGCCATCCACCTCCATGAGGGCCGATGCATCAGCTGCACCAGCAATATATTACCATATCCGGTGCTGGTGGGGATTCCCCCCGACAACTCCCCGAGCAGCAGGACTGATTGCCTCCATGGCACGGATGCGCGAAAAGACTGGAGCTGTTAAAACAAAGGGCCAGCAATACGTGGCCGTGCAGGAGTCCCATCGTCCACATTCCAGATGGAGGTCCCCAGCAAAGGGGTGGAATGTCTGAGTACACCACGACCGCCGCCGTTCAGAGTCGCCGAGATTGACGATCCCGAACCTTCGAGCTGCCTTGTCTTGCCTTTCGATGCGCCTTGACATCATCTGCTCCACGCCCGCGACGCCGCGGACCATCTGGGGCGCCGCCCAACGAACCAGAACGCCAGGCCAGAGTGCGAGCTCTCACAGGCGACCCCACCCAGGCAGCCAGCAGTG